TTTTTTCTAGTGAACGGCCGTCAATCAAATTTGGACGCCGTTCACTCACATGACGCCCGTCCATATTATATGGACGGCGTCCATATACAAGGGACGGGCGTCCCCATTTAAAGGACGCCCGTCCCTATTAAAATACAATAAAAAAAATTATAAACATTAGGGACGGCCGTTTCATCCTTTATGGACGGTCGTCCCTTTGTTTTGGAGCGGCGTCCGAAAATAAGGGACGCCCTTCCTTAACCAAACTATAAAAAAAAAAAAAAAAAAAAACTGTGGACGGCCGTCCATAACTTATGGACGCCTCCCATGCGTTTGGCTGGCGTCCATTACGAATGGACGCCAGTCCCTTAAGTTTGGACGGGCGTCCATTAGATGGACGCCCTCCATACTTAAAAAAAATAAAAAAAAAAAAACCGTGCTTCTTGACCCATTGCTAACTAATTATCTGAAGTTGCTTACCCATACCAAGCGCATATCATGATGCTTGAAGAGACGAAATTTAAACAAACCGTGCTTCTTGACCCCTCTGTTTTGCATTCCTCCAACACTCAAAAGCTGCTATGACGCTAGCTGATCACTCTGCTCCACCATACAAATGAGCAAGCCAAATTTAGCAGCAGTTGCTCTCTTATTTTCATTTGAAACATAGGAAGGTAAACAGATCCCTAATGTCAAAAGCAACTGCAAGTGTCAAAGTTGGGTCTAGACAATTCATCATTATGGCAAAGAAAAGCATCTTGCTCATTAATGATGAACGAAAGAGAGCAAAGTTGGTTCCTGTTCTGGGCTGAGAGCAAATGAAAATGGCGGAGAAGCTATCAAGTTGTATTGTATCTATGGGGGACGACAAGGTTAGCTACTGGAGATGTGTGGCCAAGTGCAATACGCGTCCGTTGGGCTGGGATGAGGGTTGTCTTCCAGCTCGAAGCTGGTTTAGAAGAGGACTGCAAGTGGTTTAGAAGACGAAGAAGAAGAGGTTTAGATTTTATTTTTTTTTTAAGTATGGACGGAAATGGACGCCCGTCCAAACTTAAGGGACTGGCGTCCATTCGTAATGGACGCCAGTCCAAACGCAAGGGACGGCCGTCCAAAAGTTATGGACGGCCGTCCCACTGTTTTTTTTTTTTTTTATAGTTTGGTTAAGGACGAGCGTCCCTTATTTTCGGACGCCCGTCCAAAACAAAGGGACGACCGTCCATAACGGATGAACGGCCATCCCTAATGTTTATAAATTTTTTTTATTGTATTTTAATGAGGGACGGGCGTCCTTTAAATGGGGACGCCCGTCCCTTGTATATGGACGCCGGTCCATATAATATGGACGGGCGTCCATATGAGTGAACGGTCGTCCAAATTTGATGGACGGCCGTTCACTAGAAAAAAATTATAAAAAAATTCAGAGATGCGTTACACGTAAGCTGGTACACATTTTCGGTGCAGATTTATCGGTGTCCGTAGCTTTGTTGCTCTATTAACAATCTACTCTTCAGAAGCTAAATCCTATTGGATGGCTTCACAAGAAAGTTACAGTGGCCTTCAACCATACTACGTTGACAACATGAGAGGCCCAAAACCATGGTGAGCTGAGGCCTAAATTTTTCATGAAATATCCGCCCGGTGGTATAATTTTAGCCCATCAGGTGTCCTTATAATTGTTTACACACTATTATTCTGTTTTCTTGCATCCTCGACACTCTAAAAACCTTTTCATCTCATCAACCTCAATTCCCTGTATAAATCCCAAACTTCCTCAAACCTTATGATAAAAGAGATATTTCTGCATCTTCAACTAATAAGCAGTACTGAACTTACATTATTAATAGAGAAGTATAGACATGAAAATTTATTATAGAAAAACTGCTTCTGTATTTTCCATTCCCGCAAGCATTCAAAGCACTTCTAAATGAAGTTGACTCAAGTTTAACTTCATTATTCTATGCTAATGTTGTAGGGTTTTCCGTGGAGTGAGTTAGTCTTCAATGAGGCACATTCTTTTAACAAGAATAAGTAAATCCTTTGTTCGTCTTAGAGCATACTGTTAATATATATATATGTAAGGTGTTTCTTTAAATGATAATTAATGTTTCATTTCATATATCTACCCCAATAAAGAAGCCACAAGCACCAGTTGAAAAAATATCAACAACTGAGTTCCCAAAAGAATCCCAACATATTTCTATCTTTTTGGGTTTTGATCTACAGAAGCCCTTTAAAGTGGAAACCCTTATTTCTTTCGGCGACCGTACCAACCATCTTAAAATTTGCAGAAAGCTTGTTTAGTTTTGTTGGAGGTTTGACAGCTAGCATCCTTGAGCAGTATTAAACTTTTGACAATAAAAATAGTTTCCATCAATAATCAACATCTTGATATGCAGTAGAAGGATCCTACATCCATTATAGCTAGCGAAAATAATAAAATTGTTGGGTGTTTGCACTGTGTTGGTGAGACAAGAGTGTCAAAGAAACTTCAAATTGCTCTAGATATGCTAAATGCCGCTGAACAGAATCATGATGGGAGCATCCCCATCAGTATTTTAATTCACCTCATAAAAATAAAAGCTGTAAAAGCATGCATTTTTAGGCTGTACAGGTTTAAAAATGATGGCTTTGTAATTAAGTTCCTGCCTAAGCTGGCAGCTTGCTTTATTCCATATAATTCCTTTCTCACCATAGATAATGAGAGTCCGTAGTTGGATTAGAGTATTCTATCCTTTTCATTTCACATACTACTTTTATCCTTATCTCTAAAGTCGTATATTGTTCCGTTCATCTTAATCTTTTGGCTTTTTCCGGAGTTTCGAACTTACGATAATCGATAGGCCACCTTAGAACATCTCTGCAGTCTCTGAACCTAAAAGCCAATACATTTAATCTGTTTGGCTCTACCGGACGGTATTCGAATACTTACATGTTACATGCAGGGATACTCCAAATTTTTATTCTTGTTTGATAATTTCTTTATGTTTCCTCGAATAATTTTTGCAGCTTTTCTCTTTTATGTACTTATCTTAAGAAGTGGGTTTTTTTCTTGAAATCGAGTTTCTTTTGGTAACATGCAAGTTCTCTCTGCACATGTTGTCAACTTTCCTCTTCATTTACTTACTCTCTCTCTCAGTCACAGATGGATGGGATTTTTAGATCTTATCAGATAGTAAACCAAGGACATTATACCAAACTTGAATAAGTTTAATTACTTGATGAAAACCAGATTATTTGAAGAAGGAAAGAGTAAGCAAACTATGATTATACAGCTTGATTTCCACATGGTCAGATGTCCTTTTAAGTCATTGAAAAACCAAATACTTAGCCAAATGTAATTATTATTTGGCTTGAAAGAGGACAAATAGGACGGGTCCCAGTCCCTCTTTTTTCCTGTCTTTGTTCCCATATTGGTTCATCATTATCTTTATTTCTAATCCATGTAAAAAAATACAAACATATTGGACCCCAAGTGGCTATAAATTACAAAATACAGTAGACTGGGTGAGAGATTAGAGTGCCACGCTTGTCTTTTGTCCATAGCAATAAACAGCTGTAAATTCTTAATCTATTTTGTTTTTGGTTAGTCAAAATATTAAGGCAATTATATGATAAGAGTGATTAGCCTGCTATCAATGACTGGCTGCTTGATGAAGACTTTCACCAAAAACCTGTCTGTCTTATCTCTATCCTTTCCTCTCTGGCTGTCTGCGGATAACTTTCGATTCTACACGTGAACATGACTTTGATTTTGACACACAAAACATAACACTCATTATCTCAACCATTGCTGCCCATCCTCCAAGCAAAGCTTTTAGACATTATGGAATGTTCTGTTTAAATCAAGTGATGTTAACTATTTACTTTCTAAAGTTCCAAAAAATGCCACTTCATAATAATGAAGCGGTGATGTTTCAGTGTTTCTCGCACAGATCGATATAGAACCAAGTTACAGTTTTCTTTGTTTCTTTCTTTTTCAACTATAATCAAGTGCTATAATGAATTTTGCATGCATGAACGAATGGCATAAGCCACAATAACCTCCAAATATAGCAAAAACGAAGAACCCAGACCCACTGAAACCAGCAGCAGAAACTATGATAAACCCCTATATGTTGTGCAGATTTGAGGAAGAAAAGTCAAGAAAGTAAACTGTGTATTACATAGCTAGCCGGCTAAAGGGGCAAAATCTTGAATTGGGACAAAGTCCAACTGTTAATAGGAACCCATTATGTCATGTTTCTTTAACCATTTATCTTGGTTTCTTTTGTATGTCAGCATGGACAAAATCTATTTGTGTTACTTGCCATGAATAGTTTGAATTTGAACAAGCATGACATGTTGCCATGACTTGTGCCGTTCTCGGAGTGAAATTAAAAAGTTACAAAATATAATACAATCCCATAAAGTGAGACGGCGGAAAAATTAATATGTTAATAATATAATCTGTGGATGAGAGCCAAATGTTGAAAATACGTCATAAAATACATTTATATAACCATTAAGTGGATACTGATGTCCGCCCAACTATGTTATAGTCACCAAGGCAACAAGAAATCCATTTTCATGCGATTTGCTAATTTATGTGGGCTCTACCTCGGGTAGATCATGTATTCATAACACTTAATATTATATTTCCAACTGATTGTAGCTCAGGACTTCCAATGCGAGACTGGGAGTGGCAGCACTATCTGTCTGTCTCTAAATGCAAGGACGATCTGGTACCGGCGCACTGTGCCCCAGTTCTTAAATCATCTCTGAAAAATTCAACATTTATTACATTTGACTGCAGCTGCATTCTACTATGTACCGAAATTGGATCATGAAAAACTGACACCCAGTTATCTAGTGTTTGCTCATCAGTATATTGTTCATCTCTTACAGCAACGAATCAATAACCAACTAAATTTCTAAGAGAAATAACAATTATTAACCAAAAGCAAATGGAAGCTACAAAACGGGTCAGTATTTACATAAACATTTTTTTTGAAGGATAAAATTCTACAAATTATTTATCAAAACAAGTCCCATATGAAGTTAAAAAAAAAAAAAAAAAAAAAAAAAAAAAAAAAATCAAAACAAAAACGTAAAAACAAAATACAAACAATTGTTACAATTCTATTTAGCTATGCACTTCGCTGATGCCAAGAATATTTACAGCAATTCCTCCAACTATTGCTCTCCCCTACAACAGCTCCCATGCAGAAAACGCATCAACCAAATCTATCCTAACAATCTATTACTCCCACAAACCTACGTTTTATTTCTTCATTTCATATCAAGTACTCTCTCCGATACCAAACTATACTGGTTTCTAAACCTCAAAACTGGCACGAAGTACCAAGCCTCTGTCTCTGCTTCTGACCTAACGTAATTGATTTCCGACTGGCAAATGCTGGCTTGAGCAGGTCCTGGAATTTTTCTAAAAACACCATCCATTCCTCCTCCGTTAAATCTGCCAGCTGCACAAAGCTCACACTTGCAGGTAGCTGCTCATTTGCACTCCTGTGTCCAGAAGATGAATTTGAAAGATAACCATTTTCTGGCTTTGAACCAAGGAATTTCTGATACTTCTGATTCTTCTCACCCAAACTGGTGTTCTTCAGTGACATGGAAAGTTTTGAAATGGATGGGATCCTTTCAGGAGTTGGCAAAGTTGCAACTTCTTGCTCTACCTCTCCTTCATCACTTTCCTCTGCCTCCTCAATGCTTTCCTCCAGTTTTGAAAGGGGATAACGGCCATTCCCAAACCCAATTCCAAGTTGAAATGGAGCTCTGATTCCATAGTCATCAGCTGCCATCTTTGGGGTAAAGTCAAATTCTGTTTCCTCGCAATCTATATCAAATAGGAACTCATCATCTCCCATACCTGCCTTGGGTGAAAACACTTCTCTCTCCTCTACCAATCTCCTCGCTTCAATACAAATAATCTCCAGTTCACTGGGTTCCTCTTCCCCAGCACGAAATTCCCTACTCATCATCTCACCAATTTCAGCAAGACAAAGACCAAATTCAGCAGCTTCCTTCAGGAAAATTGTGCAGAGAACCAACACCCGCAGACAAGCCTCTCGGATCATAGGGAGCTTCCTTCGCAGCATTTCACAGTCACGATCAGGATTAAGTTTTCTAATGTAATCTAGTTCATCATCTGAAAATGGAATTGAAGCCTGAGGCCAATGGATCCACTCAAAGTAGGGATCCTCCAAAGTTTCTGGCAAGCTTAGGCCATGGTCAATTGGAATGAGCTCCACGTGACCAAAGTTCCCAACACCATCAAGCTTCCTCACTAAAAGGTTTCCCGCATGTCTATCAGTGTTGAAAATTCTAACATCTAATATCCCTATGCGATGCACCGCAGAAACTGGGAAGCTTGATGTCCCTTGATCACTTGCATCAAAATTATGCTTTATGAACTGCTGGAAAGATGCAATCTTACTAACCAGATTCTTTTTGTGAGCCTTGTTCCCATTTACCCCATCATTGACATTGAAGATTGAGTGTGTGATCTTCACCAGGGCAGTGGGAGGCACATTTGCAAAGTGATCATAATCAAGAAGGTAAGCAGCTACCTCTCTGATCCCTGTTTCCCCAACCCGCACCGATCGTTTCAATCCTGGTTGCCCAAGAGCTTTACCAACAAAGCCCTTGGGATTGTTGGGTGCAAAAGGTTCTTCATCTGTTGGTTTCACAATGGCAACATTCTCACCTCTGCTGTTCCTAAAATAATATGCACCTCCAAGCCCACTATGAACAGGAATAGGGTCAACACCCATCTTAATTGCCTTCACAATGTCCCTTACCAATTGTTTGGTAATATAAAAGCAATCAGACTGGCCCAGTATTTCAATAGGACCACTCTTATCCTTTTGCTGGATATCATTTCCCCTAGGCGAAAGGCACGGAGTGGATGAACTCCTATGCAGTATGTTCCGTGTCAAAAGAAGTGGGGAATCATTTCTAACCGCACTAAGATCATTCTTTAACACCATATCCCCAAAAGTCAGTGAGCTCTCCTCGGTAGGCACATTGAGAGCAATCTGCAACCTTCGTTTCACAGTATGAGCATTGTCTCCGCGATCCAACTCCATCCCTAATACACAACCAGTCTCTGTTTGAACGAAAACTCGTCTCCTCCCCGCAGGCTGTTTCCCTTCCACTCTCTTGTTCCCGTGGTATTCTCCGCTGAGCGGAGTTTTAAAGACTGCCACTGCCATCTGAGTTTGAACTGGGCTGTCTAACTTACGAGACATGAAATGGAAAAACAAACCACTATTTTCTTGGCCGGCAACAAAGGCGGCTGTGGAAGAGAGTTTCTTCCTTACCTCCCAAGAAGGCGCCAAGCTCTGAACCAGACACTAATCGATATTTAATTAATGAAAATAATCCCCAAATTATCATCAATTGATGAACTCAGATAGATCCCATCCCAAAACTCTAAAAGGCCGAAAGCTTAAAACAGAAACCAGAAACAGAGCAACTAATAAAACACCCTATGCTACATTAAAAAAGCCATTATCCGAAGCCGCTCAAGAGTCAAGAATCTGAAACAAAAAACAGCAATATAATTAGATATTAGAAACAAATACCAGATAGGATAGCCAACTGACTTAAGAATGATTGTATGACAACAAATACCAAATAGATACCAGAACAAAAGGCGTTAAGCTAAAGGGTTGTTAATTAAGCGAAATAATTTATTTAATATAAAAATAAAAATAAAACATTGTTTTCTTCCTGCTTAAGTAAAACTCAAAGCCAAAGAAGATAAAAATAATCAGCGCGAGTGGATCTAGATTTAAAACAAGATGAAAGCAGCGAACATTACACCATTATTCAACATTCAAAAAATCTAAAACATTTTCGACCTCCGTAAGCAACATTTTCTTAAACCTTACTGCATTATTAGACTTCCACATAAGCTTTTTAACTAAAACTAATTGAAATAAGAAAATTAAAACTTGAAAATGTAACAATCCGAATTGGAACAACCTTAAATCAAATCGAAGTTAAAAACCGGCATTTGACATCAAAAGTGATTTACCAGGTTCCGAGATCTGACCGGACCAGACAATCTCGAACTCCTCGAAAAACAAGAACGGCAATAACGCAGTGATTGACTAATTAAAAAGCATAGAGAGACAGAGAATGAAAGGTGCCAAGTGAAGATGAAATGAAAGGGAAAGTTTAAAGGGCGGCAAGGAATGGTTCCGAGTTGACTCAGTGAATTGTTCTCGCAGGCCACACACAATAAACCTTGTTTGCTGTTGTGTCTCTCAGGACGTACTACAACTTAACGCGTGAAGTCGGGTTAAAAAACTAACCCTGGTTAGTTAGAAGGAGAACTCTCTCTCTCGCCCTTTCCCTTTCTTTGTCTCGGTTGGATTGTGAATTTTGTATCGAAGGCTCTAGAACACGACATGAGAGCCGCTGGATTCAAGGAGCGGTGAAGGAAGCAGAGCCGTTTGATTGGGTGCGGTGACGTGGAGATAATGGATTGGGTATTCGACGTGGCGGAGTCACCTGCTATACAGGTTCTGTCAGCGAATGGGAGGTTTTCGTTTTAATTATTAAATGCCTGAAATACAGTTTACGTTGATTGACGAAAATACCCCTCCTCTGATGAGTACTAATATATTTGCCATTACGGTGGGGCCAGGTGAAAATTGCATTTCTCCTATCAGTTAAACTTATCGGACGGTTTGGATTGGATATTTTTTGTGGGTGGAAAGGTGTGGTAGCATGGGAGAACAATAATTCAAATGGGTCATTTTAGAAGTTTTCTTGTTGAAGATAGTTTGATTATGATATATCAAGTATAAACTAATATTATCCTAAATAATAATTTAATGTATAGGATTTGGGGAAAGCGTTATAAAGGGCAGTCAAGTCCATCTAGATGTGGGTGTTTAATTATACATAATCATAAGCAGTTTAAATTAGAAGATCTTGCCTCCATGTTGCCTATACCTTTGCAGAATTTCTTAATACAATTAGGTTTTTTTTAATAATATATAATTGATGACAGGCTTTTAATATCTACTTAATTATTTGTAAAATATTGTTTTTTTATACAATTATTGTGACAATCCCATGTTACTTGCTATATTCAATCTAAATGGGTTTAGTATATAGGAGGAGGATGTAGTTTTCAAAACAAAATAGATAATGACCCAATAAGAGAAATTTAAGCTAGTAAATTTAAGGCGTAATAACCCTAAGGTGTTGGCGAAGGTTTGCTCATTCCTTGAGTTCTTGAGAGTAAATGACTTTTTCTCACTCAAAGTTTGCCTTAATGACACATTTTTATTAAAAAAGTTTCAAAATACAACTTTTCCACTCAAAGTTTATATTATGTTAGTATCGAACATACACTTCACTTTCTTAGCCGGTATTTGACGAGTTACCATGGGTCAAAGTAAGAAGGATTTTGTAGAGCGGATGGCGATAGATCAAATGATAGTAACTGATTGAATATTCGCCGTTGAAAATCAGCTAAAAAGAGGAAATCCTAGCTTTGCGATGATCGACAATCGGCGAGAAATCAGGAGTCAAAGTGAGAGGGGTTTTGTAGAAAGGAGATCGGAGGTTTAAATGATGGAGATAATTTTCGTCATCAGAATCGGCTTTAGGTGGCAACGAAATATAAAAATTAAGTGAGAAAGTGGTATTTTGAAACTCTTTGGGTGGAAAAGTGTCGTTAAGGCAAACCTTGGGTGGGAAAAAGTCATTTACTTGAGTTCTTGGGTTTCAACTTGGAGTCACCTATCACTATAACATTGTGGCTTACTTAGTTATTTGGGCTTATAGGGCGTTCAATAGACCGAAATGATTAGTTGAAGTACGCGCAAGCTGGCACAGACAACCTGATTACCAAAAAAAAAAAAAATTATGGTGTGATTGTTGTATCTAATAGATTTATCAGAGCAAAACACAAGTAAATAAATATAATTGTATCAAAACAAGATGGATGTAGCATTTTATTTAACCTTCTTTTAATCCATGTTATTGTGTAAAATTAGCAAGATGAATGCTTAATTTGTGTTGAATCATCTACCCCTTTTTAATAGTGTAATAATACGTACCATATATAAAATATGTATATGTATGAAAAAGTAAATGCAAAAAAATCCCAAGGAGCTAGCCTGACGGTCAAGGAGATTTGCTCCCTTCCTTGAATATCTGGATTCATAATTTGAAGTCATCTACCACAATAACATTATAGCTTATTTGGTTCTTTGGACTTGTAGGATGTTTAATAGACTCCAAAGATTAGTTGAGGTATGCACAAATTGACCTGAACACACCGACGCTTACCATTCTTTTACACAATTTTCATTACATCATGATGTAACATATGTCACAACCAAACAAATTTTTAATTATTTTAAATTTTTACTATTATAATAGAATTTGTATAGTTGTCGCATATACCACATCATGATGTAATAAAAATTGTATAAAAAAGTGATGTAAATATAGTATTACTTCTCGATTAATAGGATAGCTTATGTGACAACAAAAGAAATAAGAAGGTCACTCATGAACATAATGCAGTTGAAATCTTCAAAAGAAAATGCAACATTAATTAAGTTGTAAAGCCTTTTACTTATATTTTTGTCCTTCCATACGCCTACACAAGCCTAAATGGAAATGCATGTGTCATGGAACTTATGTTACACTACACATTTGTTCTTTTTCTATATCTATTTTTTAATTATTATAAATTTCATATCATAAATTAAACCTGCTCATCATAATTTGGTGAAGAGGTTTTTGCTAATGGATAGATTTTATTTTTAATTTTTTTTTTTTAAAAAAAATCCTCAACATCCACTTTTAACTTTTAAGTACATCATTTGTTAAATTTTCTTTAACAAATAAATCACTTCACGTATAATATATTAATTTTAATAGAATAGAAAATACAGTGAAAGTAAAAAACAAAAACAAAAAATGTTAAATTTTTTATGAAAGAAAACATTTTTTTTTCTAAAATTCTAAGAATTGGGGTAATGAAAAATATAGGTGTCTATAATATTTTAATGGGTGCCATTATTTTTAACTCTACTAGAAAATCAGGTATTTATGTCTATTTTCTGAATATTTTTTTAAAACGAAACGGGTGATATAGAGCTTGTTTGGCCGAACTTATGAAAATTAGCTTATAAGCAGTTTGTATTTATAAGATAATTTAAGCTTATAAGCATTTGAAATTTAAACAGTTACGTATTTGGTTAAAGTACTTATAAGTGATTGATAAATAGTTGACGCATTAGTAAAATGTAGCTTATAAATACACTTTATTACTAAAAATGATACTACATTATTTTATTAAATAATAAATAAGGTTATAAGATAAAATTTTAAAATTAAATATGGGTAATGTGGTAATATAATTGGTTAAAGTAGTTTATAAACAGAGTGCTTATAAACAAATTTTTTTATTTTTTTTTTGGTTTATAAACCAAAAAGTTATAAACAAACAAATCCTCTTAATTTTAGAGCTTATAAATTGTTCTCAAACAAACACCCCCATGATATTCTTCAAATGCAAAAGCTAATATGATTAATTTTCTTTGAATTAACTAGTGTTAAACTGTTAATAGATGACTTCGGAGATTCCCAAGCTTATTTAATTATATATATGTTTTGTCCTTTGAGGGTTGGCAAACTAAAATGCCATGTATGAAACACCGAAAGGGACATGCTGCATGTTAGTTTGCCATGTCACATGCATCAGATTACATATATAATACAAAAATTAGGGTTTTCTGGTTGCGTTTCAACCTAAAGTTAGAGAAATATGAAAGTTTTTTACATGAAATTGATTGATAGGTATATATAAAAAGATATTAGTCTTCATCTGATGGCTATATATCAGTAGGATTAATGCTGTGGGTTTTCATCATCATTTTTAACCCCATTAAGAATACAAATTAGTGTTAAAGTCAATTTCTTTACAACTTATAGCTTCGCCAAGAGGAACACTTGGCCAATATAATTTATCAATATTATCATACCATTGACATTATTATTGATTTTATAGCAAGGTTTTAAGATTCAATAACATTACAACACTCTTATATTATATTAATTAAAGAATATATATTTTAGGATTTTGTTTAGTTGATAACTTATAAGTTTGAAATACTTGAAAGCTATATTTAGTTTATAATAAATATGTTTGACAAATAATATTGGCACTATGAATTATTAAATGTTTAAACGTTACAGTTGGGAGTAATTATCTTCTTTTCTCTTTTTGACTTGAATTAAAGTTGAAACTCTGGATTCTATTGACTACACTCACATGGACTTGAATTAATATATAACCATACTCTAACCTATAATATTGAATTATTTACTGTGAAATGGTTACTCACACAACATATAAATTTACTAATTTACAGATGGTTGCTTAACGGCAAATAATGTTTTGAAAACGGGACCTGACTGGTCCAACCGTCGACTGATGTCCTCATTAGTCCAAATTTTCAATTTTACTATTCACCCAAATATCTAATCTTACCATTGATGAACGAGAGGTTACCAAGTGCCGGGGTTATAAGGGTTTTGTAAAGTGGAGGGCGATGGTTCAAGGGGTGGTGTCAGATTGAATTTTGAAAGTTGTAATTAGCCGAAATTTGGCCAAAAAAATTAACCCAATATGTGAGTCACAACCGAAGAACAAGAGGCTATAAAGTGCCAAGGTTAGCTGAGTTTTCTAGAGTAGAGGTCAATGGTTTAGGTGATGGTGTTGGACTGAATTTTTTATGCCGGAATCAACCGAATTTTGGCCGCAAAAAATAAATCCAATCACAACTATGTTCGCGAATCACAATTGACAAACGGGGAGCTACCAAATTTCGAGGTTAGAAGGGTTTTGTAGAGTAGAGGATAGTACTTCAGATTAAATTTTAGACGTCAGAATCAACCAGAATTTGGCCAAAAAAGTCAAAACCCAAGCAGATCATAGGAGTGTATTTTGCTAAATTTCAAATCTATAGGGACTGAAACTTTTTAGGGGCCAATGCCTAATGGAACCACCGGTTTAATCGGTCAGACCGATCAAATCGTGAAGGCCCTGTTCAGTTTTCAACAACAACGTCCCAATTAATTAATACAAAACGTCTATTTTCGTATTTTACTCGGCTAATGAGATAAGCCAAAACAAGTGCATCAAAAGACTAATTGAATTGTAAGGTATAACCATGAATATTAGAGGCTTTCTTGATTATAGTCATAAAGTTGTGATAGTAACTCAGTTGACAGACGATTTGGTAGGTTAATTAAATTGTCAAATTAAGTGCATCGTATAGGTT